TCTCCGTGTCAACATGTTCACCTTGTGGAGCTTTTGCTACCTATCCTGTGCTTCTACAAATGCAAAACTGTGTTGTGCTGCAAATGTGCTTCTGTGTTACAGGTATAGGCAGTATCAGGAGCATGCAAACATTTTCGTTAGTTTATACGTATGCTGGAAAGTAGGATTTGCATCCACAGAAGTCACTGAGAGAAGCAGGCTTTGTGGGCATAGGAGAGTTTTTTATTTGTTTTTTATTTTACCCTAGATGGGGAGATAGATGTGGATGCTACTCAGCAGCCTCTGTGTGTATTGAAATTGTGACTGGATACTTCTGAATCGCAGAAAAATTCTCTTAACAGCATGCTAGCCCGTATAGTGTTACAGCCTTATTATATTCTCAAAAATGCTTCACAGTGCATGAATTCATGTGCATTAAGTAATCATAAATAACTCTTAATTACATATTCCCAGAATAATGAGCAAAAAGCCTGTCTGCGGATTTATTTGTTACTTTTTATTCCTATTAACTTTTCACTGAGGTCCCAATTTGGCAGCTAGTCTGTGGTGGTCAGTGACGCATCTGCTGCCAAAAGCCACTGGTGGTTTCTAAGGGTGCAGGAGCTGTCCCACATCCCTCCGCTAATACAGCTAATGGATGCGTAGCAAATGTCTGTTAGCAAGGTGCTGTGGTGTATTACACATGGAAATTTAGAAGGCGCTCAATACTAGAGGAGCATAGTCCAACTTTTATAGCTGAAACACTTGGGAAACTTCTCTTTTGCTTCCAATAAATGTTTTTAATGGATCAATAATGTTACATTGTTAGCAGAAATTACCTTTTGGAAGAAGTCTGAAAAGGAAAAAGGCAAATAATTCACAAATTTAGGGCTTGGATTTAGTCTCCTTGTCGGCTGCGTTACTGCAAACATAAAACATTTGCAGCACGCTTTTTACCGGGTCATTCTCTCAGAGCCCATATATTCAATTTCTTTCATTTTATTTTCCTTCTTTTCCACTAAGGTGCAAGTCCTGCCTTCGCCACTTCCTCTTCCTCCCTTCAGTGCCCTAAGGAGAGAAAGCTCTGGCTTTGGCAGTGGTGGGGGCTGGTAACCAGCCCTGCCCGGGGGTGCACGTTGCCACCCTCGTGGGCTCTTCCCTCTGGTTTTTGTAAGGAGCTGGGTTTGAACGCACTGCCTGTTTTCCCCAACAAACAGTAGGTTACACTTTCAAAGCAACTCGTGTTTTTTACTTCCCATCCTCTTTGCCATCTGTCTGTGGATCTTAGTATGCAGTCTGTTAGGATTTGCCGGAAAACGTTTTATTAAGATTTATTTAATGGGATTTTCAATCTTTCACTCTTTAATCCACGTTGGAAAAAAATATTAAATAGTGACAATCCATAGCTGCCTTCTAACTAAATCAGGTTCACTTAACCCAGGAAAGAATGATTTCTAAAGAACTTCTGTCTCACAAGAGCTTAGTAATAGTCTTGTTTATTATCTTGCTGTGGTTAAAATTGCCGCAGTAGGGGGGGAAAAGAAAAGAAAAATTGTTAATGCAGTTGTTTGTGTGGCTTGCCCTAGATATTATGGTTATCATTTTTTAAGCTTTTTTTTTTTTTTTTCCTAATGAGCAGAAGCAACTGTGAAAGGAGAAAATGCTGAAAACAAACAGTAGAACTATAAATAAAATGAATTCTTTTCATGTGATGCAAGTCAAGGGAAAAACCTAGCTCAATATGCTCTGGCTTCTTGACACTCAAGGTGTGATCAGAGATTACTTATCATCCACAGGAGAGTGGGAACCAAGTTAATTAAAATTTTCCACCCTTTCACTGAATGAAATGTCTCCCAGTTTGAGACGCATTATTTGAACACTTCTTTTTCAGTAGAGCTCTGGCACGTACTTTCTACTTCTGCTGGTGTTCAAATCCAATATTTGCTAGCTAGAAAGAGCACTGCAATTTCTTCTTACGGAACTGTATGTTTGCAATTTTATTTCCATTGTCTCGAATAATCGTAGATAAAATAATTTTATTTATTGTCTTAAATATAAAATGAATACAAGATGACTCTTTTCCTCTGCACCCGTCCCCCAGTGTATTGTTTGTTTAGAAACACTTTTGCTTTGGAAAGCATTTAATATGACACCAATTAAAGGTCTGTATAACCATGACTCCTGCTGGCACACAAATTCCAGTCATGGGGTAGGATTGCAGTCGATGATTCAGGAGGGGGAGGGAGAAGTCATTTCTTGTGGTCTTAAAGAAAGCTTCAATTATCTGTATTTGCATGTGAGGAGCTTGAAGCCCATATGAATTACACCTGTTTATTCAGGAGTGACTCCTTTCTCTTGTCTATCATCTTCAAAGGCTGCCAATTATTAGGAGCAGTTTATTCCCCCAGGGACCTGAGGAAGAGGTGCAGCGTCTGACTCCAGCGAAGCGTCGTGCGGAGTCACAGAGAGCTTGTTAAAGAGCATGTGGAGCGGGGAAGAGGTGTGCAGCTCTGCATAATGTAGACGCTTCCTTCCTCCAAACAGCTTTACGTGCAGATTGTGGTGTCAGGTACCAGCACAGACAAAAAATACAAGGTCACCTTTTTGTAGCAGTTGTACAGTACACTTTCAACGGAGTTTTTTACGTTTCCGGATTTAAAAAAAAAAGATTCTTTAAGACTAATTAACTTTAATTTAATCCTAAATTTATTTTCCGCTAACTTTACACTTTTGAATGTGCTTACCTGCTCTTTTCCTTTCTGCACCATTGGGATTGTGAAATACAGCATCAACTGCTGCAGATGATGCTTAATCCTGACAAGTCAGACAGGTCCAAAGCCAGCCTTGTCTCGCCACTCGGAGCCTGCAGGGACAGTGGGCTGTGGCAGGAGCGATGCCGCGTCCCTGAAACCATTTGGCTTCTGCAGCCGCCAAATGAGCTCTGCGTGATATTGATGTCCTTCCTCATTGCCGTAATCTCCCTCTGATTTTTGACGTTTGTTGCATGTCCTGATTCAAGGAGAAGGTTCTCCTTGCTAATTGCCAACCTTAGGCAATGAATTCAAAACAGAAATCTTCTTTGCAACATAAGATGTTGCCTGGGGCACAAACAAGGTCTGCTGTTGCCAGTCTTTCCTGACCTGCTAGTCTTCTACCCTCTAAATGAGTGAGCTCCTTCTGTTTTTTTCCTCTACAAACACTGTTTGATGGAGGGAATGTTTTGGTCAGATCCTTTCATGTGTTCTTCCAGGCACCTTCTGGCAGGCTTGCAATGGTGGATGCTCTGACCTTATTCTTAATACTCATGTTGCATATCTTCATCTTTATTTTTGGAAAGCGTAGCTGACCAGTCTCATAAATCTCAGTCTGTTATTAATGTGTTTTCTTGAGACATTAATTTTCTTAAGGACATCTAGATATGTCACAGTCTTTGCATAACCCTTTGACACTCTTATTTTAAAAACTGGAAAGAGGCTGGAAATACCCATCTTACAGAGGGAAATGGGAGTCTGAGGAGACTCTGAATCTACGAGGATCACAGCTGTAGGCTAAGTCCTGATCGCTTCAGAGCACATGAGTCAAAGGCCACGTTCGTGTCTTGGAGTTAGCAATTCTGGTCTGTACATGGTGATGTTCTAAAGTAGCAGTATCTCTGTAAGTTCCTGAAAGACTCTGTACAGAAATGAGAAGTAATGTTAGTAAAGCGTTCTCTTGCATGCACTTTCTGGAAGTAGAGTTTTTAAACGTGCTCCTTTTTTTAGCAGGAGTGGTACAGCTTCTTCAGCTACTTGCATTTGTAGTCATGATCAGATTTTTAATAGGTATAGTCAGGCAGTCATTCGGTTATAAAGATATCAAGTGACCTAAATTACATTCGTTAGAAGAAAGGAATAGCTGAGATTGGAATTCACTAAAATACCTTGAAATAACTACAGCAGGATTTGGATTAGTCCTGATCAAATGACTATTTTATTGTTGTGGAATAAGTGGATTTTTTGGAGCTGCAAAACTACTGTGCCTTACCCAGTGCTGGCAGTTAAAACTCCTTGCGTGCACGTGAAACCAGTGTAAGTGCCTGAGCTTTTTGGCAAATATAATTGTTATTCCAATGGAATATAGTTATAGTTGTAGAGACTAGTAGTTACCATTTGCCTGCTTTGTGTTTATTAAAATTAAAAGCTAGTAAATATGCTCTAGCATCTATTTGTTAAATTACTGGAAGTCTTGGCAATTAGACGCCTCACAGGAGCAATCTTTGTGAAACTGCCAGTGGTTCTTTGTGCGAATTACAGGGTCTACCATTTAGTAGAAAGAGAATTAGCAAGGCTCTGCTGGGTAGATCTGCGGCTGGAGCCAGACTTCTACACTGAAAGGCGATGCTTTTGGTCTCGCCCACAGATTTCCTGATTCAAAATAACAAGGAAGTGATGCGTATTTGTGGGTGATAAATGGAATAGACCTGGACTTATATTTTTGTTGTTGTTGGCTATTTTGCTTTTGATCCATCATGGCAGAGTAACCAGTAGAGATCTTAAGGATTTACTCTAGCCAAGACAAGAGCAGAATCCGAGCAAAGCAATGTTGTAATTTTTGTAACTACTTGAATGTCTTTTTGCTTAGGAGGAGGCAATTGATAAAATACAATGAATTTGCCCTGTTCAGATCTGGAATCATTTAAAGCTAGCTGGATGACTCAGGGCAGTATGAAAACAAGATCATAGATGCTTACAATTTTAAACAAACTCATTTAACAGTTTGGGATGTATGGGTGATCGGTCCTGTCTTGTCTCATGTTTTCGAATATTTTCCTTCCTGCCTAGCTGAACATACAAACATAACCCACTTTGGTACAAAAATCCTTTCTCCCTCCCAGAAAATCCACACGTGGTTTTTTTCTTGTGTGTGTTTTTTGTTTTGGTTTGGTTTGGTTTGTTTTTTTTTTGTTTTGGTTTGGTTTTTTTCTGTCAAACTGAATGTCACACTCCAAGTGGTGATACTAACTGTTGGTTTTTCTTTCCTAGGGAGTTGAAGTGCAGACAGATTACGTTCCGCTGCTGAATTCCCTTGCTGTGTACGGCTGGCAGCTGACGTGCGTGCTTCCTACTCCGATTGTGAAGACAAACAGGTATGGAGGGGGTGGGCGCTGCCTTTCAGCCAGGGAAGTCGCTGTACAGTCGCTACGAGCAATTCTCTGTACAATTGGCGTGGATTTCCTTGTATGTGTGCAGGAGCTGCCCTTGCAAACCCTGCTGCAGCGGTTCTGTGGGTTTTCTGAGCATCACAAGCCGCATGTGGCAGAAAGAACGTGTCTGGTGGGCAAAATACTGCAAGGTGGCAGTGTGCTTTCTGCATGAATTTTCTGGGTATTGTCTCTGCCTCTCTGTAAACTCCTTGATTGTAAAATTCCTGCCCTGGATCTCCCAGTAACTCCTCTTTGAGCAAAGATAATGTTTGGAATGAGATGTTGCCCACCTGAAGTAAAATAATTTTATTCTTAATCGATGTCTGTCTAATGCTGATGATATACAGAGTCTAGCTGATCAGAACCATGTGAGATTGGTGTATCGTTACTCTAGTAGCCTTGTTTGCATATATAATCATTCCGCAATCTACTTTACTGTTACCAGTATTCTGAGTTTTTAAATATAAATACAAGTCACTTAAAAATACTTTCATAACTTTGAAAAGCAGTCATCCCACTTGGTAATCATGAAGATGGTGCCTTCTGAATTTTCACCGGTCAGGACTGTATTTTT